TATGGTACTCCCAAACACTCATACTGCCCTGCTTGAGGACCTCAAACTTAGTGGCACGGGCTGCCACTGTCTCGGCAGGCAAGAAATGGTCCATAAATGCATCTACAAACTCATCCCATCTGGCCGGAGGTATTCCCTCCCCATGGGAATCCTCCCACATCTCGAACCATGAATACGCTGCTCCCCTCAACCTGTATGAAGCCAACTCAACTCCCTCCATCTCCGAAGCCTTCATTACTCAAAGGGTCTTGTACATCTCATCAAGGAAATCCTGCGGATCGGCCTCTGGGTCTGTGCCTGATAACTCTGGAGGGGCTAACTGCAAAAACTGGTTGACTCTGGAACTGGTGGAATCTCCTGTCCGCTGGAGGATGTAGGGGTATCATGAGATCGCTGGGCCTGAGCGGCCACTAACTGGGTCAACATACGGATGGCTCTTCTAAGGTCCTCATCAGGAACCCCGGGACCGGAAGCTGGAACTGCATCAGAATTAGGAATATCGGCGTGAGGGATGGTAGCACCCTCTACCGCAGCAGGAACAGGAACACTTTGGTCTGGGATAGACGGGCCAGGTAGATTCAAGCGGGGAGTCACTCTCACCCACGGCATCAGGTACATGATTCATAGCCTCACTTGGGGTGGCATTGGCCCCAAGGCCGAGTCTAGCTCTCTTCTTAGGTGCCATTACTGAAAAATTCAGAACAGAGCACGAGTTAGACATAGATACTTCCACTTTTCACTTCACCGCACGATATAGAATAACAAAGAAGAGGGTAATTTCCTAAATGTCCATGCAGCCCCCTACTTATTGATGTGGTCGACAACACACCGATAAGAAGGGCTCTACTAGACACGGCTCCGAGACATCTTAGGACTCTTTCAAAACCTGGCTCTGATACCAACACCTCCGGATTTGCACAACACCAACATCTCGAAGGCATGAAATAACTGTCACGCCCTAAACAGAGAAACATGACCGGCGCCCGACCGGGTAGCCCCAGTCAAGCGGACTTGGGTGCCTTTCCTATCGCACGTGTTACCCCGTACTTTCATTGCTCATTAATCAAGGAATTAGCCGGTTATAATTAAAACACCTTTTTACAAAACATACATAACATACATGGTTACTTAATGAGGTTTACAACTTACATCGCCCAACATACAAAATACATAATTACATAAGTTCGTAACCCACATTTACTGTCTACGGAGCCTCTAAGGATACAAAGGATAATACAATACTTGCCGGTAACAAGGCTCCGGCTATACCTTACACAAATACCCAAAACGTGACTCCGGAATAAAAGCGGTATGAGCCACGCATGGCCCCGAGAGGAAAGGGGCTCACCAATACAGCTGACGGAAAGTGAAGGGGAGCTACGGTCGGTGGACTGGAGTACCTGCTATGGATCCACCTACAATCATAACACGAATGTAGCGCCCTGGGCAAAAGGGACGTCAGTACATTTGAATTGTACTGGTATGTATGAACAAACTTTGCCCTAAGCAAACTCAAACCATACACAAGTAACAAGTAGTAATGGAATCAACAATAAAATACACATGAAAGGAAACAATCAAGCCAAACAAGTTTACAATCTCTCCATTTCCCCTTCAACATTTTCACATCAATGATTTCACAACTTTCTCATATTTTCATTTCAATAGTGATTTCGATCACTTTCCACCCTTATTATCTCGGCCACCCTTATTACCTCGGCCACCCTTAACACAACAACCCACACCTTATTACTTCGTGCTGCGGCGCGCAACCCGATCCCACTGAACAATCACAATTCACAAACAACACAACAACAACAACAATTCACAAAGAACAACAACAACAATTCTCAAGAACTACAACAACAATTCTCAAGGAATAACAACAACAATTCACAAAGAATTCTCATACCATCAATACCATTTTGCATCATACTCAACAACTCATATGCATTTTACGTCACAACGATAATTGCCCACGACAAGCCATATATGTTATTACCACAGTTGTTCCAATTGCATCATTTACGATTTCCTTCCATCATTTGTTTCTCAGCTCTTACCACATAACACTTTCACAATCACACATTTGGTTCATTACCAATTATTTACACCATTATATTGGAAGAGTTAAACACGAACACTCAAATCATACCAATCACAAGAATTTCACACATAATCCACGTAGATATCACATACCAAATATCCGTACACCAAACAAGGTGATTTTAGAAAGGTCAAAGTTAGCCATACATACCTGGAGCCGAATTCCCTTTTTAACTTCTAATTTCAATTCACCCAATAGTCTAGCAACGGCAATCTAGTGCACAAGTTAACACATATGACTTAGAATTGAAGTTCACAATTGCCACTCAAACTTATTTAGGTTATCAGCCCCTCTTGTACAATCATTTACTCCTACCCAATCCCACTTACTAGATTTTAGGTTTAAAAAGACATGCATGAATGTTTCAACCTCTACTATCAAGAATCAATGCATGAGAATTCCCCCCCCCCCCCAATTAAACCTGAAAATTAATGAAAATGGGTTAGGGATTTTACCTGCAAGAATGGGGATGAAGACACTCACTTTGAAATTTCCTGGCCCGGTTAGTTTTGAAGAATCAATTTGAAGAAGATGAACTCTCTCTCAAGAACCCTCTCTTCCTCTTACTTATTTTGTTCAGAAAACTTGTTAAAAATGAGGGGTTGGGGTGTTTTATTAAAAAGGGGGTCGGGTTTAAAATTTAGAAAATTAGGAGCCCGAGTCAGGTCTGCGGTCGCACTTTGCGATCGCAGATACGAAATGCGGTCCGCAGAATGGACCGCAAAAAGTGTTCCAAAAACCTGATTCCACTGTTTGGGTATGCGGTGGAAATGCGGTCCGCATACATGGTTTGCGGTCGCATAATGCACCGCATTTTTGACCTCAATTTGACTGACACATTGACTTACTTTGCGGTGGAAATGCAGTCCGCATATCAGTTATGCGGTCGCATAATGGACCGCATTTTGACCTTTATTTTAACCAAACCACTGACTCATTATGCGGCAGAAATGCGGTCTGCATACTTGATTTGCAACCGCATTTTGGACCGCAAAATAGCACTTTTCTGGAAAAACTTGGTTCTTTGATTTTTAAATACTTAGATCAGCACAATGGGTCCGAACCGCGGCGAGCTGAGTTTTACACATTCCCAACACATATTATGAACCTGACCCTACGAGCTACTGGGTTTTGAGCACAAATTTTTCATGGGGCCTGACATTCTCCCCCACTTAAACTCATTCGTCCTCGAATGAGGATTTTGAAAAAAATTAGTTGGTTTTGAAAACATGATATGCAGACTCCCAATTTCACTAACTCCCATATTTTAGAAATATTTTGCCAGAGTTTCCTTTGTAATTTAGACATATCTATCTGTCAGAGAGCCCCCGAAACACAATTCCAAGTACCATTACACCATTACGACTATCCCTACAACTGGTATACATTTCATTACCTCAACAATTGCACATATTCAATCACTTGCTACATTTTGTACATAAATTAGTCACTTCAATGAGTCCCACATAATTTAACCACTTCAACATACTACATGCATATAAGTAATTCATTACCAATCTACACTACCATTAGTTGTTTACTTATCACCTGAGTTTTTATAAAACTTTCATTTACCAAAGAGATGTTCACATGACTTAAGACAATCACAACACATACAATTCTTCCACCACTAGAGGGATTTCTATAGTAAAGCATTTAGGAAGAAAAGATGGGGTGTCTTTTCACCAATTTGGACACAATATCAATTTGTTTAGGGATAAGAATTCGCACGATTACTACTAGACTTGTTCAAACAGATGGGGACATTTTTCCTTCATTTCCTTTTCCGCTTCCCATGTGGCTTCCTCAACTCGTTGACTTCGCCATAATACTTTAACTGAAGCAACTTCCTTATTTCTCAATTTACGGACTTGCCTATCAAGAATAGCAACTTCCTTATTTCTCAATTCTTTATTTCTGGAAAAACTTGGTTCTTCGATTTTTGAATACTTAGATCAGCACAATGGGTCCGAACCGCGGCGAGCTTGCTCGCCGCGAAGAGTTTTACACATTCCCAACACATATTCTGAACCTGACCCTACGAGCTACTGGGTTTTGAGCACAAATTTTTTACGGGGCCTCACAATAACCCCATCTTCTAACTGTGTCATCCAGTGGCAATTTTCGTTTCCAAACTCTCCACATCAAGAAAGAGATTACAAAAGAAAAACCTTTTATCCACATATTATTGAAGACAATGTTAGGATCCCTCCTCTTTCTCAAATACTCCCAAGCAGATTTGACACTAAAGTCCCCTTTAGCTTTGCAGAACATGAGATATGAGGACTGCCCGACCTCCAATAGATAGAAACTTGCCCTTCCAAGATTGCAACTTATCAAGAATTTTGTTGATCAAACCTTGATAGTACTCCATTCTTCTCCTAGCATAGAAAATAGGGCATTATAGATATGTAAATGGAAACTCTTGCCTTTCAATCCCTATTATTCGTTGTACCTTATTCACCACCTCCAAACTCGCGTAATGATGCATATATATTACTGACTTAGCCTTGTTAATAAGCTGTCCAGATGCACCTTCATAGGCCTTCAACACTTCCATAATAAGCTGCAAGGATGTAGCATCAGATGATGAAAAAATGATTATGTCATCCGCATATGCCAATGATTGATCTTTGGACTCCATTTAGGCAATCCAAATCGACATAAATATGAGTTCATGTGTAATTCGTTAATCCCTCTAAATAGAGACTCAGCTGCAAAAATAAATAATCTAGGAGACAAAAAATCTCCCTGCTTAACTCATCTCGAAGATTTGAAGAAACCATAAGGTTTCCATTCAGTAATACATAGTACCAATTGTTGGAAACAATGCCAGTTTAATTACAATATTTTGCCCTGCTTTAGGCCTCATCCTTATGTCAGTGATAATTTCTTAAGTAAGCAGTACATTCTCAACAATGATCCTTCCTTTTACAATTCCCGCTTGATCATCACAAATCAAATTAGGGAGAAGATCAACTATCCTTTCATGGATGACCCTTGAGAATACTTTGTTGATGAAGTTGCATAGGCCAATTGGTCTCATGTTCGAATATGTTGTCACTTCCTTCTTCTTTGGAAAAAGAACCAAATTTGTATATGTATTATATCTGGGGAGATCATGTCCACTGAAAAATGCATTAACCATGTCAACAATATCATCACTTACAATTTCCCAACATGCTTGATAGAAGCAGTCATGAAATCCATCCGGGCCTCCTGCGCTATCTCCATTAAGTTCAAAGACTTCCTTCTTCACCTCCTCCTTAGATGGTTGTTTCACCAGCTCCTCATTCTGCAACATATTAACCATAGAAGGAACATGATCTAGTATGCCAAAAGCATTAGGCACCCTATCTTCTGTGAATTGTGACTGGAAAAAGTTAACTGTCTCATCTACAATTTCCTCCATATTTTCTAGCCACTGTCTAGCATTGTTTTGGATCCTTTGAAGCTGTAATCTCTTCCTTCTAGCATTCACTTGAGCATGAAAAAATTTTGTATTCCTATCCCCATCTTGAAACCATGATAACCCTGATTTTTGCTTCCAAAATTCCTCCTCCAAATGAAGGTATCTAATATATTCAGCTTGCACTTTTAGAAGCCTTTCTCTATTGTGAGGGGTAGGTTGTAGTTCAAACTGTGTCTCGTGAACTATAACATGCTCTTCAAGGATCGCTATTTTCTAAAAAAATGTTGCCATAAGTCGCCTTACTCCCTAACGATAAAGCTTTCTTCAATTTCTTTAGCTTATAATTGAATACCACAAATGGATTATGAAAAAAGTCAGCGTGCCTGTTTTCTCTGAAAACATCAAGGAATGTTTCATGCTCAATCTAGAATTTCAAAATTTTGAAAAATTTCTTGATTGGGGCAGCATTACTATCACATGAAAGAATTAACGGACAATGATCAGAACATGTCTTTGATAGATGGGTGATCTCAACCCAAGGTACCATCTGCTGAAACTCCATATTAGCCAAACAACGATCGAAGCATTTGAAAATAAAATGATTCATCAGTTCTCCCATTCCACCATGTGTATATACTCCATTTGAAACTTAAATCGAATAGGTTACAAGTATTTATGACATACCTAAAGTCTTCAACTTCATCCATCGATACAGGTAGGGGCCCAAACTTCTCCTCTTTATCAAAAATTATATTGAAATCCCCTGCCACAAGCCAAGGAATATTCATATCACTTGCGAATGCATACATCGTATCCCATAATTCTATCCTCTCAATTACATCGCATTTGGCATAGACAAAGGTGACTATAAAATCCTTTTTTGTAAGTGTTAGTTGTTGCTCCATATTAGATAGCACATCGATCTCATAGTCCTCCTCCACAAATACCTAAATTTTATTTGAAATATTTACAAGCGCATGCTGGGTACCAAGTTTCCTCCTATATTTCTCCAATTTGTTAGCCTTTTGCTTAGGCTTCATCAACCCAATAAATTGAAATTCATATTGTCTATGCATTGTGATAAGCCTCTCAAAAGTTTTTTGTGTTGACTGACCTTATATTCCAGATAATAGCGTTCACAACTAATTATCGGATTTAGTAAGGGGTCCTTTGCGTTTGAACTCCTGTGCCAGGAACACTGGAAATTTCTTTTGGTTGCTTCTTCCTACCTCTTCCCACAGCCTACACATTGTCTATGTGTCTTCGTCAAAGTCTTTACCTCCTTTTTCATGTTGCTTCTTTTCTTCCATAAAAAGACATTGCTGCACCATTTGAGTTTGCACTAGCTTGGGGATTATGAGCTTATTAAAGTTCTCCTTGGCAGTCTTTAAAGGCTGATTGTTGAGAAATTCAGTCACAGTTGGAAGGTTTTTACCAACTGACTTTGCAGCATTAGGGTTCTCAACATTAGGGTTTACTGTTTCTAGAGTTTTAGCTGGGCTAGTTAGGGTTAAGGCTAGATATTGTTGCATTGATTATAGCCATGGATTTTTATTTGGTTGGACTGGCTTCATGTACTCCTTGCTTCTTCACAGTCTTAGTATTCTCTCCAACATTTGTTACAGCCTCCATCCCCCTTGTATTACCATTAATTCCTTGATCATTTTTATCTTCCATGCCAGCTTCCTCATTAACTATATCGTGATCAATTGTTTGATCATCATCTTCCACTTGTACTGCTCATCCTCCTCCTGAAATTCACATTCCTCTTCTTCAGATAATTTATCAACTTGATCACTCCATAACTTTTCCAATTAAGCATTACTAACGTCACGAATTTGGGACTGTACTTCTTGACAAGATTGGTTTGAATTCACAAACCTAGCTAGGTCATCACATTGTTCCTTCTCTTTGTTAGCTGCATCATTGCCTTCAGTAATCTTCAAATGACTCTCTAGACTAACATGAGTACCTGTGGCATTCTTACCTCCAAAAGTTTGATTAATCCATTGAGCAGTAGATTCTTTCCCAGTAGTTCTCCATTTTTCTTTGTCATTCCCATATGTCCTAGGTGTGTTTCCTTCCTTTGTTTCCCTATTCCTAGGTGAAGTAGGATTGAATGCAGGTGCTGCTGGATTCAGTACTCTCCCAGAATCCTTAGGATTAGTTCTTGAACTACGATCATCTTCCTCTTGTGCCACACTGCCAGCTGGTTATTATCCCCATTGTTACCATCATGTTCTTCAAGCAAATTTATTAGCAATTTGCAATTGTTGCTCCACTCCTTGTTCGACTGGATAATTTCTTTCCCAGATATACCTTGAGCACCATCCTGATTAGTTTTGTTCTTCACACAATTATCCCTTACCTCCTTCCACTGTTCACAAATATTGCCAACTACCTTCCTACTTGTTAGGATCATAATAGGTCTCATATTTTGCTTATCTCTTCAGCATTGCCTGTTGTTACATCCTTTTAATTATCATGCATCATATGTTCTGGGTGCAATTTTCAGCACTCAAAATCATTGTGGCCTTGTAACTTGGATGTTTTACAGTACTTAGGTAAATAACTGTATTGAATCTTTACCCACTCAGTTCTTACCTCCCCAGTAGCTTCATTCTCTATATCCATATGTACTTTCTTTGGCAAATCGGCTAATAGGTCAACGAGCACCATGACTCTTGCACAACTTGGACGAATCTTATTACTTGTTGCCATATCTAAGTGTAATGGTTTCCCCATAGATGATGCTAGAGAGAATAAGCACTCTTTAGCAAAGTACGTAGGTAACATGCTGGGAAATGAAATCCAAGCCGTCCCCTTAGGAGTTTCTTCACCTGCCTTAAATTTAGCATCATAAATCAATGTCCTCATTTGATAGTCATAGCCATCTTTTGCTTTCACATAATATACACTTTTTGACGTAAAATCTATAAAATCATGCCACTAAGTCAGTCGAATGAGTACGTGTCTATCTCTAACCAGTCCAATATTGCATTCACCCTTGATACCACATTGCGCGGGAATTATTCTTCAGAGCTCTTGCAAATCTGGCCATCCTTAAAAAAATTTGCAAACCACAGCATATTGCAATCCTTCAATAATGTTCATACGATCAACTTCTGCTTCGGTAAATTTGATTAAAGGCTGCCCATTCACATACAAGACTCGTCGCATATGAATAGTATCCACAATAGGTTGTGCGACAGAATTCACTTGGGTGACAATTACAAGAAGAGAGCAACACATGTCCAAGAGGGGGAGCTATACAGAATCTAGTCGACCTCAGATCAGGTAATAGTCACAGTAGAAAGGCAACAACAACAAATAAAAAAATAAAGCAAGCAAACCTATGAGGTCACAAAGGCACACAGCCTGCAGACAGCAAAATTCCCTTCAGACAAAAGGGAACTCAGCTGGATGATGCACCTGTGGGAAAAAGCAATCAAGCATAAGAAGGGATACAACTCACAGCATACAGGGAATCAGGCACACTTGAGGATTCATTATCCTCATGAAAAACAAAAACCACTAAAAAAACAAAAAATACAACAAGATGAGGAGGTGAACAGCATTATTCTCATAACAATCTGCAAATTTCTTTGGTCTTCGCAAAGCATTTGGAGCAGTAAAGCAGCATTTTCGATTGGAACGTCAACATGCAACATGAATGAGGAAAAGCAGGGAAATCTACTGGTCAATAGCAGCATGTACAGAACTAGGCAACCCATTCTCTACCATCATAGCACATGCAGCAGACAAACTCAATTATATTCAGGCGCAAAGGCAACACAATCACATGTAGCAGTTCATATCAGTTGGTTTAAGGAGAACATTAAGCAACAAAGTAGTGATTCAATCTAGGAAGTTGACGAAACTGGAGCAAAAATGAAGTTCAAAGGAGACACCTGGGCAATCGTTAGGTCCTATGTTAGATACAGGTGTGATACAACACTGAAGGCTAAAAGTGGAGACAACACGTGAATAGAGACAAGGATGCAAGGAAAGAGGCTACAATTGCAAGAGCTGGCGATAAACTGGATGGAATGTGGCTATATATGCAAGCATAATGGAACGCTGTTTTGGGCCTATATAATTGGGCCATTGGATGCGGACAGCAGGTGCATGGACTGCGCATGGGCTAGTTTTTATTTTACAAGTTTTAGTAGTAATTTTGTGATATCAATTTTGAGTACTTTACTCAATTTTCGTAATAGGTTCTATGTAAGTTTCAAATTTTATTTCTCTCATCATGTTAAAACATTGAACAAATTGTTTTATTTTTTATTTTCTATATATAAAAACTAGCCTGGGCAATGCCTAGTGGATTGATTAAAAAAAATGAACTAGGTTTAAGTATTTTCGAGTAATCTAATGGTGGATTAGCAGCTGAATTATTGTTTAAAGGTTGGGAAGTTGTTGGGGGAGGCAAACCAACCCCCACAAGAGATTGGTTGCCGGCCGTAGTGGTCGCAGGCTTTTGTCGGAGTTTTCCCTAGTGTCGCCCTAATTCTCAAAGAGAGAAGAGAGCGTTATGTGGCATAAACTTTCAAAGCTTCTTAATTGAGAATCATTCTTTCAATTTAAATCTTAACTGACCTGAAAACCAAAACCGACGATTCACATAAGTCATAATACATCATAATATACTTCTCAAGACCTCAAACATATGAACGAAATATAAATGCTCAAAACGACCGGTGGGGTCATTACAGTACCTCATACTCCCTATGAATAAAATTTGCACTCATTATGGTAAACTGGTCACTATAAGAGTGAATGCACTACAAAAGAAAAGGCAAGTCAAAACAACTAAAATATTGTTCTAGGGAAAAATAGGCTGCCAAGTTAGGCTAATAAGAATTTGAGTGATCCTTTTGCCAATATAAAGGAACCCAAACTAGTTTGCATTTCTAAGGCTAACCTTTGATTTCCTTTTGATGGTCCAAGTGAAGGAGAGCAGCCAAATATGGTACATGGATAGTGGTTGCTTAAAGCACATCTAGGAAGTAAGAACCGGTTCTTTTCACTTGAGGACCTTAATGGAGGTAATGTCTCTTTGAAAATGGAAAGGAAGGTGAGACCATTGGAGTTTGAAAGGTAGGTAAATCTAATTCTCACTGTATTGAGAACGTCTATCGGATATATGGACAGAAATACAGCTTGATAAGTGTATCATAACTTTCTGATAGAGGAAACATAGTTGTTTTTACCTTTATAAAATGCTTTGTGATAAATCTTACCACTGAAAAGATAGTTTTGCAGGGAAAAAGAGTGAATAACATATATGTTGTGGATCTGTCCACACTTTCAGATAATTAACTCGCTTGCTTAAGCCTGTTGGACAATGATCCCCTCCTTTGGCATAAGAGACTTGGACATGCAAGTCTAAGTAAATTCAACAAACTAGTCTCCAAGGACTTGGTGATAGGGATGACTAACATTAAGTTTAAGGAAGATAACGTTGTGAGACTTGTGCAAGGAGGAACCAGGTAAGATCCTCTTTCAAAATTTAAGAAAATAGTGAGTACTACGTGTTGACGACCAATTTTGATCCTCCCTTTATAATTAATTTACACTTACTTAATTATTTTCAGTAAATATATTAAAAATATTTTTCTAATTAATTATTACTCTTTTGATAAATTAAGTAATTAATGGTGTTGAGTTAATAATTTAGTATTACAATTACAAATATATTACTCTTCATTTTTGAAACTATTAAAATAAAGTTTACATTCATTGCATAGGTCTATAATTACTTTAATAAGTTGTTCCTTAATTTTGGTAAAATAGCCGACTATTTCTAAATAAATCTGAAATTAATGGAATATAGGATACTTAATAGTTAATTAACTAACTATAGTAATTAGTGGTGTATTTGATGATTTTCATTTCTATTATATTTTATTGAAAATACTTAAGTTTTTTTAAGTTAATTATAAAAGGGTTAAATATTGAAATGGCTACATTTGCAATTGCATTAAATGCAAAATTGCCATCTCTTAAACTAAAACCAGCCCAATACCCAAGCCCAACCCAGATGTGACCCAGTCCAAACCCCTCCTCTCTTTCCATCTTGGTAATCCGGCTCCACTCTCAATGAACCAATCAGAACTTGACATATCAACCTTTCACACCACTCACAAAAGAAACATAATCAATCTCAGCCTTCAATTCTTCATATCAACGATCCGTATTTATCCATGTTTTTCCTTTAATTGTAATACTCCACCAGATTCAATCTTAACCGTCCAAATCCAACAATCCAATGATTGTCATAATACACGATTTTAAGTATTTAATCCCTAATTTATCAAGGTCGTTAATCTGAAGATCCAGCGGTACATATCTCTTCCCACGGTTTAAACCTAAGAGACTAACCCCAATTACCTTAAACCCTAAATCATTCACCATTGGACCAGCTGCCCTATTTCCCCTTTCACTCTATATTCTCTCGTCTTCCTGGCCTCCATCAATCATCAAACCTTGCACAAATTCGTGCAAGGCCATGAGATTTTAACTTCAA